TTTCCCCCTTTTTTTCTCTTCCTGTCTTTTTTTTCTTTTTTTTTTTGGGGGGGGGGAGGGAGTGAGGGGATTGCCAAGATCGTCAACAAGATCAGCACGATCGATAAAAACCCAAAAAAAAAACAAGAACATAAAAAAATCCCATGGTGTGCCGTGTACAAGGCTTGCGTACATGTTCACCCCGCGCGGCATGCTGATCCGCGATTTACTAGCGATTCCCTTTTTTTTTATCTTTTTTTTTTTTTTTTTTTTTTTTTTTTTTCCTTGAACCCCTCAGAAGACCCCACGACTTACTCGCTACTCCAACTTCCGTACGACCCGCCGTGCCATAGTCATACGCGAAATATTTGTTTATTTATCAATAGTTAGTATTATGACGAGGTGCATGACCAGGCGGGAAGAGAGTACGTTTTTCTTTGGGGGGAGGCGGGGCGGAGTGGGGCAGGGAGCGGCCGAGGAGTGAGGGAGGTAATAAAAGAAAGTCGACTGACAAGATCAGCTCTCTCTCTCTCGTAAGAGATCATCATCATCGAGATGAGAACTCTCTCTCTCTCTCTCTCTCTCTCTCTCTCTCTCTCTCTTGCGCGCGCGCTTGCTCGCTCTCTCTCTCTCTCTCTCCCCCGCCCCCAGGAAAAGATGATCATCACCAAGATCAGCTCTCTCTCCATATATATATCGTCACAAACACATATATATATATATATCGTTACAAACAGAACTGCCCGGTAAACCGTAGGCAGAGAGAGAGAAGAGGACAACAAACGAGGGGCTGTGATAAACTGTTTCGTCGGAGTTTCACCGACTCATCAGGAGGCTGAACCCTCAACAGTGTGCAGAATCCCCTCACTGATTACACTGTAAATGATAATCTACCTTAACCAAAATCAAAGTAAACTATCACTCACCCACACCAGATGGAAACTCTACAGACTGTCCGTTCACACCCCATCTCAAGCCAGCAAAACATCCACGAAACAAAGAAAGGTCTGTCACAGCCAAAAAATAGTGCATCCCAATTTCTTACGATTGCGTATCAGCTTGACGCTGTTGAAAATCAGTTGTTGTTTGACCATAATAGTCCACCTGCAGACGGTAGTAACTATACTACCTCAGGAGGCTTTACTGTAAATGTCTTACAGTTAGCGTTTCACGGTCGCCACCTTCTTATGCATTATGCGATGCCAGGCGATGACCTCAATAACCATCCTCATATTTTTGCCTGTATTTTACACAGACCCGGGCATTATATGGCACTCATTCGTGCAGCTGCCCAGTGGGAACTGTGGGATGGTGGGACGATGAGTCAGGTCATTTTCAACGTGAATGAATTTTTGCGAGCGTTGTCGAATCATACTTTATTCTGGATTATTGACCGACTCTCGTGTGACATATTCAATCAATTAACAAATAAAAGTGAATGAGTGAATTCAAATTACACAGTTATATGAAATTAGATTACATGTTACATATGTTGTTAACATTGTCTATATAGTATAATATATTATTGTAATTATGTATATTATTGTAATTATGTGAAATTAATACAGATTCAAAAAAAAGAAAAACAGTATCTTCTGTCGGGACAGAGACGCGGTGCGCCTTGGCTGTGGAATGCATCATCTATGCCATAGCCATTATCAATCTATTGCTACTGCCGCCGTCTGTCCTGAAGGGTGTCCAACATTTCCTCATTGTACACATCCCTATCACCCAGATATACGTTGTCCCTATTGTGCCCAAGGACGNAAGGGTGTCCAACATTTCCTCATTGTACACATCCCTATCACCCAGATATACGTTGTCCCTATTGTGCCCAAGGACGCTATCAGAACTGTATGATGTCGCACTGTGATGAAAGTCCTGCTGTGTTTTTGACATGTGGACAACATGTCCTCTGTCAGGACTGTTTTGATGGGATGGTTCGTGCTAGCCGTCCTGCAGAATGCTGTGCTGGCGCAGCTCTCCTTGGGCATCCTTGTGACCATCCACATCAYCCTCACCGTAGCTGTCCTATCTGCCGAGGTGGGGACAGGTAAAGAAAAAAAGAAGAAAAGAAAAAGAGAAAAAAAGAAAAAAAGA